CATATTTTAGCAAAACCCTATATATATCTAATAATTTAAAATTTTATACATTTGTTAAAAAGGATATTTGTAACGTAATTTGAAATTATACAAGAATTAATTATATATTAAATATCACCCTAGGGTAAAACTGTTAAATCTTTTTTTCTGATAAAAGCTGTTAAAAATGAATTTTGAAATGTTAACGGTCTAATCCATATAAAAAGAAATTATTTAGAATGAATATAAAAGTTTGATGCAAAAAATAGTCGCAAAGATGAGGAATACCTAAAATGTAGGCCGTGCCCAGCTTATTTATTTACATGCCATTGTTGTATTTATAAGATTATATCCAATAAATTAAGATAAAGGTTATATTCTGATGGCGAGGAATTAGGCTAAATGATTGGTCCATAATTTGTTCAGTTTATCTTTTGTTCAGATATTTCTTAGTAAAATATCGAAAAAGATTCTTGCCCCGATCCTATTATTACCTCTTATAATTTTGTGTTTATTTACAGTGATGTGCAAAGTTTATATGAACACGAAAGGGATTTATAACCATCATCCATTGAATTATTTGAGATTTATAACATGAATTGTTTATTATATATAAACATTATGGTATGAATATAATAAATACATAACTAACAATATCTACAATATGAAAATATTATAAATGGAGCAATCGACACGATAATTCTAAATGTATATGCCTATATTTTTTGAATGCATTATTTGATGAACAAAATTGGATGAATTAATATTAATGATGTATTATATGGATGAACTAATATATGAAATTATTTGGTAAGTTATGTATATAACTATTTTTAAATGTTTTTGATTAGTATTATGGAAATACATATTCATTTATGAGAATGCTATAATTGGTGAACAAATTTGGTTGTGAGTAATATGAATTTATTTGATGACTTATAAAATTTAATTTGAAAATTTATTGAACTATTAAAACTATATGAAAAATTGGTTTATGAAATTTATTATTACTATATTAAATAGTGATTTATGAAATTTGAAATTATTAAACTTATTGAAACTATATAAAAAATTTTACTGGATTTTTTGAAAATCTGTGAGGAATTACATTAACAAATCAAATATCAAAGATGTCATTTAAAAAAAATGGAGCCAAAATAAAGAATTTGAAAAGTATTTTGAAATTATAATATATAAGAATAGAAATTTCAGTAAATAAATTTTATAGAAGAATGATGACAAGATAATTGACTAATCCTTTCGCGCTCAGCGATTACTTTTGATCAATCAATTTTTCTAATTAATTTTTTATTTAAAAAGCACATTGATGCTTTTTTAAACTAACATCCTGTCAAAATCAATATATTATTATATCAAAATACAAGTTAAATTATTTTAGACGCCAAAATTTTAATATTTTTAAATCGATAGCCATTATATATAAATATACAAAAAAAACAAAGTTATATAATGTTTTTATAATATATTATTACTAGTATATTTAATGTTAAATTTAAAAAAAAATTAATCAGTAATAAAACATTTATTTGATTTCCAATTGGCAACATTGGGATTTTCTTATGGAACTTTTCCCACAATAGAAACTTTATGAAATATTGAAAATATGATCTATTCATAATATAGGAAATATTAAATATAGGTTATTTACCATTAATAATTTATTTTTCAATGATGCACTTTTTAATAATTGTTTCAGATGACCTCAACATTTATAACACTATAGGGAGAGATCTCTGAGACAAATATTGTGAATGATTAGGACTTTGAAAATGTTACAACACCTGTTTATTAAGATATGGCCTAAGATATTTTATCAGTGGGGTTAAAGAAAATCCATAGGCAAAATAATGAACTATATAAATATAATACTGATTAAACAAAAATTTCCCCATCCAAGAAACAAATTATGGGTAAAAAAACTTATAGACAATGATATTATTAACAAAATTGAACAATTCTTTAATCATCTAGAAAATTAACAAATACAAATACTATAAAAATTTATTGGAATTCACTTTTACACGTTGATAATAAATAGGTTATCCCTATATCATCATTTATATTGGTATAAATCCCATAAGATGAGAAGAGAGGGTTAACATATGATAAATATTTTCTTATTGTCCATCAAGACTAAGATGCTATGGGCGGAGTTGATCTCCAGGTTGAACTATACAGAATTGACATAAATGGAAACGTTTTTATATGCGAGTTTCCTTCCACATATTTTGTAGAAAATTCATGGTTGCTCTATAGATGCCATATAAAATAAAAATATTAACTTATGTCATTTGATATTTAAAGTTTAGAAGCGTAAGAATTGATGATGCTTTGAAAGGAAAATGATAGTGTGGATCTAATTAAGAGATTGAAAGAAAGAAGAAAATTGAAACATTTTCATCAAATCACAAATATAATATTTGATAAACAGGGCCATCAGCTACTATTAAGCCAAGATGCAGGAAATTCATAAATGGTTATTTCAGAATCGGATGTATAAAATGTAAAATATCTCTAGCGATTGTTTTTATTTCTTATCATTTAAAATAAATTGCAAATTTACTATATTTTATTTAAATATGGATGTCCCATTTAAAATATGTTGTTTATGTCTTGTTTAAGTAAATTTTAAGGAATTTTTTTTGCTCACATCAATAAGGTCGGGCGCCAATGGGTGAGAATCATTATATAACAAAAATGATTAAAATATATAAATAAGATTTATATTAATAACGAATGATAGCTGATACACCTTATTGAGAGATAGTGGCCAAAGAAAAAGGATTGGGGCATAGTGACCTATTAAAATATTATATTCATTTGAATGAAGCATAAAAGATTGTGAGGGATTTAATATTATAATAGATAATGAGGACACATGTTAAATATTAATAGATTTGGATGAAAAATAAAAAGTTTGTTAAGAATGCGTAAAGAAAAATGAATGAGAATGTTGCATGATGCAAAGACATATCAAACTGCAAGGTAAACATATCAAGGATAAAAATAAAAATTATAAGAATTTGAGTTATGAAAGAGGAAGGAGTGGATAAATGATATCCCGTGGGCCATTTAAGGTCGATGACAAAGTATAATATATTTGTAAAAGGGAGAGAAATATAATTTGGCATAATGTTTACCTACCTAACACGTAGGTAATTCAAACATGTTGAAAGAAACTCCAACCATAATTAAATAAAAAAAATGCATAGGAATTGATTTAATGATTGAAGCATTTTAAGAAAATGTTTATGAAAGTAGTTAGAATGGCATGAGGTGGATCAAAGGTGATTTGTAGAAGGAACTCATCTACCAGGGTGTTAAATGAAATTATAGATTTGTATTTAATTTTATATTGAATGAGAATTTATAATGACATTGTAACATATTAATCCATATAATAATTAAATTATGATTTTTTAGAAGGTCTTATTTTATCGAAATTTAAAAAACTTTAAATATTTTGATATATTTAATGTTATTGTAAACATCTTATAATTAACGAATTTCAGATAACCATCAAATAGCGTTCATTTTTAATATAGAAAACATCTTTTAGGCCCTGTCCTGGATAAACTTATTACATTGCAGCCTAAAAGATAACAAAAAATTTTTTTTAGAAAAAAAGAGAATAAAATACCATGATATAATACCAAATACTTAAAACAAACCAAAATAGGGTCCTAGTTTCAAAAGCTGTTAAGTCTATGCTAAAAGCAATCAAGTATCAAAATTTAGTCCAACCAGGGATATTAACATTATCCTCCACAATGATATTTTTAAGCCTTCGGATTGGTATTGAATATACTTATAATTTCGAATCTTAAGCGATGTGATTGGCTATTAAAAAAAGTTCACATAAGTGACTTGAAAAAGGTATAAAAGGATGGGATTTTTATATATCAGATATAAATAATTTGATTAATTTTTGAATAATTATTTGCATATTCTTTTTTCTTTATTATTTTAATATCTTAATGGATTTAATATTTGGTAAGGCGATGTTTAATAGGATTTGTTTTATTTTTTGCATTATAAATCATTAATTGGCGGGTTATTTTTAATTTAAAAATCTGATTTTGGCTAAAATGCATTCCAATAGGTGTATAATACCTACCCTATAAATTTCAGATTATTTTTTTAAAACGAAGAAATTTTAATTTAATAGGATTAATTAAGTTTTCTTCAAAAGTTAGTGATAAAATTGTCTGAAATTTATAGGGTGAAAATTCTACATATATTGGAATGTATTTCCGCAAAATCCTATCTTTAAATTTAATAAAACGCGCTGAATTAATGATTTAAAATGCAAAACCTATTAAATTATCGCCTTACCTAATATTTTATTAATTTAAATAACGATAATTATAATTTGATTTAACACGGCGATATTTTGTCTTTATTACCAGCATATATAAAGTATAGGAAAGAAACTATTATTGACATGGAACTCCTTATTATCGTTTCAATTTCAAGATGCCTAAGCCACTTTAAATGTTAGCCATTATGGTGAAGATGATCAACCTTTCCTTAGTCCCTCCCCATCCTATGCATCTATAGGTGAAGGGGTACAAAAGACATTTTTAATAAGAATAAGTAGATGTTATTTTTAGTATCACCATCCTGTTGCTAACCCTTAAGATTTTTAAATTTTAAGGATTGAAAATTATTTATTCATAAAATATTTTATATATTATTGCATTATCTATATATAAATTTTAAATTTATAAACAGAGTTATATAATAAATTAATTCGTAATTCAATAGATTTACATCCAATTATTTAGAGACTTTAAGTATATTACAGATAATAATAATGTATAATTGACTATTTAGAAATACATGATTGAGCTAGTTATTATATATAATTTTTAACACATATCAGTAGGCTATACGGATTTAAATGCCCTATTTAATGCTGTTTCTAAAAATATATCTCGGATCAAGAATGCTTAAATGGTTAGCCACGAATGTGCATTCATAGTCACACGCAAATGCCACAAAAAATACATTTTCTTATCATAAATCCAAGCTTTTGTATATGGAAGAATAATTATGCGTTATTTCATACGTTTTTTGCGATTTGTTCTGAACGTTGACTAAAAACATTTTTTATTATAAATATATTATAAATGTAAGATAATGATAAAATTTTTATTAATTTAATTATTAATAAATTTATGCAAGTTGAAAAATCAGATAAATACATTTCATAAGTTAAAATATTTTAAATCTCGAATGTTATATAAAATAAACGTATTATTACAGTATACTTGGTCGGTAAATAATCCACTTAAAAATATAAGCGCGACCCATTTTTTAAGTTATTCTAGGGTTAAATCAAACAAATAAGATAATCATTTTTTCTAACAAAATTTGAAAAACTAATTTTTAAAAATTTGGAGGATAAACCCTAGCCAACATCGAATCTTGTCCCATGCATTATAGAGATCCTTCTTATTTAAAAAAAATTCAAATAATTTTTAAGTATATACCTATTTACCGACCGAGTGTTTCCCTATTATATTTTACTTTTTTCTTTCTATAAATTAAAATTTTTGTTTGGTTGTAAATAAACTCCTTTATAAATAATATATGATAATTTTAAAGGAATTACCGAATGTGGCTGATTGATCTCTAAGATATATATTTAGCAAAACCGTTTGTTCAACGTCATTTTTCATGTTTTCTTTTTTAAGATCATCTTCAAACGGTATCGTAGCTTTGTATATATTTATATGATATCCGGTTACTCGAGATAATTTTTGTAAGTTATCAGCATTGATAAGGTATTTGGTAATATTCCCTTTAGTCGCGGAAAATGAAATTGAGGTTACATAGCCCGAAAACTTATCGTACGTGATACGATTAATTTTATAATCATCTGATGTTTTATATTTCATCCTTTGCTTCATATAAGACCTATTCAAATCCTTGATCGCAGTTTTTCGATTATTGCTAAACCCGTGACCTCCCGCATTCATGGACACGGATTCTATCATCTTCAGCGAATTGACTTTGTGATATTTAGCTCTGCCTACATCTTTTGTATTTAGCTCAGTATAACTAAATTGTGCTTTCATAATATCCTTTCCCAAACTGTCTACCCCTTCTTTACAATGAAGGGACGAAATGAGGCTTGAATCAATAGCTTCTTTATCAATTTGGCATCGAACCGTGGTTCGCCTAGTATTACCTTCTATCATATTTAACGCCTTAATTGGGTTACGATCGGAAGAATAGAAGTATATATCAATATATTTGATCATTTTATTGTTATTGTAAATGTTGTAATACGTTGTAAGAGCCCCATTAGACCCTGCTGGCACGAATTTAAGACTGACATATTCATGTTTATAGGAATTGGTCGATTGATACAATTCTAAACCATCGAGTTTGCCTAATATAGAATTTTTGGGAGCATACGAAAATTTGACCTTTAACACTTTGCTCGTATAGTCTTTAGTCTCCAAATGATTTCCAAACCGGTCGAAACTGTAAGTTTCATATTTATCATAATCGTTAATAGTATAGGCAACTTTGTCCGTTATGATTTCTTGTGTTGACTCATCAGAGTAGTAAAAATCTCTATTTGTATTTGTTTGGGAATATGTTATGGCAGGAGAACTGGTAATGATGGACAGTAATCCAATAGGAATAGCTTGTAAAGATGAACTTTGCGCATCTGTCAAAAAGAGGTAGGAATTGTCGGAATTGAACGACATTTGAATTCTATTGTCAATATTTTTTGAATATTTTTTACGAAATACAATCTTTACTGGGCCCTCGGATGAGGAAGGTGTCATTTTATAGACTGTTAATTCCCCTCCTCGATCATCATTTTGTGACTCGCTTGTTAGTGCAAAATGGAGATCTCCATCGTTATTTGATACAGTAATTCCACATATTCTTCCTTCCAATTTTGATTCGGATAAATTATCAATTTTATTCGAACAAATTTCGCCTATAGTTCCTTTTATATTTACGCGATTGTTTGCCGAGGGGACTATAATTGGAAAAACAACTTTATTGATCAAGTCTAATTTGTAAAGGGAATCGTAATTATTTAAGACGTACAGAGTTTCTTCCACTATGTTGTAGATAATGTCTATTATTGAATCGAATGATATCTATGTGCATAAATTAAAATTTAATATTATATATATATTATTTAATAATATAAAAGGTTGTTTATATAAGGATTTATTTATGAACCTCTTTAAATAAGGCGCTTTCATTGCAATGCAATCTATTATTGTAGTTTTTCCATTTAAAATTTTGTGCATCATTACTGATCAAAGTTGACAATATTCCTGTCTTAAGTTTCAATGCTCTCAGATTATTCCGGTCCATAAAGTAGAGTATGCCTTCTGCTATATTCAATGTCATACCTATTTCGAATTTTAAAAAAAATGGAAAATTATTAATAAATATTCCGTTTATCCTATTACTTAAATCAATATGAATTTTATACTATTTCTTTCATAATTTACTTGAAGGTTTAAGCAACTTTGAGTTCTTGGCTTCAATATTATCACCACAATTCATTATACTATCTAAACATGGTGTTCCATCTCCCGCGATTATTTCCCAATTTTTATCTATGTATTTATTACCGATAGTAGAACTATCCAGAGAAGGCAAGAAACTGTTTTTGATTTTAATAATTCTGTATGCATCTGCTAATGACACATAAATATCCCCGTTTTTAGGATTTATAACCATTCTGTAATTTACATTACTATTTGTATTAATGATATTTGAATCGAACGATGATAGATTTAAGGACAAAATAGGTATTTTGGCAAGAATTTTCGGAAGCATTTGGGATTCTGTTTTGCTAATATTATCTTCATATAAAGGGTGATGCCTGTTTTGAAAGTCAATTTGGTCTTCATTGGATGGGATATACAATTTTAAACGGAAAATATCGTTTCCTTCCGCTAAAAATGCATTGTAATATGTAGGATTGATTGCAAAATTATCTTTGGAATTGCCGAGAGGTGATGATAGATATAAATAACCCGGATCTTTAAATAAAAAGGGTTTATGGAAATGTATTTTTATGTTATCAATATGTGATTTATGCAAATTATTTATTATTTCTTACTTTTAGGAAGAAAATTTTTTTGGAATGCATCCGAAATTTTGTATTCATTATTGTGGTAAATTTGTCTTTTAGAATTTTTATAAACATTTGGGGCGGAAAATTCTCGTAAAAGATATATGTTTTGGCCGGTTCCTTTGTATAATATATCTATTTTTTTTTGTAAGATTTAAATGTTAAAATAAAAGAATGACAATTTTTTTTTTACTTTGATAATAATCAAATCTATGATGCACATCTAAGTTCCAAGCCTCTCCAAATAATTCCGATATAGGAAGATCCTGTCCCAAAATAGTCCTTTTAAATGACGACCAAATTATTCTATCGCAGTCATATTCATAACCTATGTAAACTATTAATTTTTTTTTAAAATATGTATTAATTGTATTAGGAATATATATCTATAGTTATCCTTTTAATTATTTTATAATTATAAATTGTGCTTTGTTTAATTTTAGGCCCTAGCACGAAGTTTAAAAGGTTTTTAAAAAATGCATTACTTGTAGCTTTAGCCAATCCATACACGGTCTGCTTGTAAATATTTTTTTTGTCCCATAGGTAAATGAAATTTAAGTTGGCTTCAGGTTCTAACGTATGTTCGTGTCTAGAACCTTGAATATCAATCTAATTATATTTATTTTTATAAAAAAAAACTATTGAATCATTATTTTACAAATCGCCAAGAAGAGGATCGTACAAAGACTGTTAGGATTTCTATAGAATGTTGGAAGGTAAAAAATTAAATGCTATTCATATAGTTTTAGAATTTGTATTTTTTTTTACTGTAAATATATAGAGATCTTCCCTCAAATAAAAAATATGTGGAAGGAATGCTACCCAAAATTCCCCCCTCTCCCACCTTATGAAAATTCTGGCTGCGCATACATTATATACATTCTTTATTTAAAATAAATTTAATATCTTATTATTAAATATAATTATATATTTTGATTCCCATGTAGTGTTGAAAGGAGTTTTTCGACACTCACATTAACATCACCGCACAAATATATAGTATAAACATTTTAGAGAAAATTATTAGAGAAGAGATAAAACTAAATTAGGATAAAGTTTTTTTTTAAGAAAAAAAATAATTTATATCATACCTTTATGTGTACAAATTTTAGATTATCCGGTATGTATTGATGATCATCGAAAATTTGTATATAAATAGCGTTCTTATAATTGGGAGATTTTCTAGAGGAATACACTAATTTTACTGGAGTCTTCGGTAAAGGAAAGGCTTGCCACATACTCTGTTTATGATATTATTGTAAGATTAAACATTTCCATTTTTTTTAAAAAAAGAAATCTCAATTAATTTTTCGTAATTATAATGGTATTATTATATGTATAAAATATAATATTTTTATAATATTATTTATTTTCTCTAACCTGTTCTAATAAGTTTATGCCAGTTAGGGGTTCGATATTTAAATTTAAAGTAGGTTTGTCATTGTCCACGGTATTAATAGAAGTAGTTAAAGGTGATGGGATCGTATATATATAAGGAGAGGCAACTGGACTTACATGAGAGCTGGGTGAGCATTTTCCATCGATTTTTTTATTTAGATTAAGCAGATCTTTGATCTCCAGTACCACATTATGCTTCATTAAGAAGAATTCGTTGTATGGAATGTAAAGAGTCATTTTTTTGCGAGTGAATGGTTCCTTGTAAAAGGAAAGTGTTATAACGTCGGCCCCGTTGACTAAATAATCAAACCTATTTGTAAATGTTTGTTTATTATAGATATAATGGATATATATTTTAAAAAAATAAATAAACTGTTATATTTAAAGCTTAAAAAGGGCAAAGAACCTTTTTTTCAAAAATTTATTATATATTTAAATAAATAAACTAAGTTATATATAAGCTAAAGCAAAAATTTTAAAAAAATAAGAAGTTCTTTTTACTCTCCATCCATTCGAGATAAGGTGTAACCATATTTTATTTCTGAGTCTATCGATATTCTAACACCTATGACTGGTTGATCAAAGGAATCCACAATTCTACCTTTCACTACGCTAACTTTTCTAAATATGGAAAAATTTATAAATTATTATTTATTAAAAAATATATTTCGTATATACAGATGTAATATTTTTAATATTATTTTTTATCAAACTTTTTTAATAATGGTCTAATATACTAATATAGTATTTTATCTCAAAGTATATCATTTCAAAAACTTGTAAACTAGCATTTCTGGTAACGTTTAAAATATCATTTTAAACTTTACAAATATTTTTCTTTCATTTTGAACATGTTAAAATAAGTTTAAAATGATACATTTTAATTTAAATAAGTCTTTACCGGGTAAATTTATATATAAAAATATATATATATATGGCATGAAATTTATCTAAACTTTTCGGAAAAGGCTCGTATTGAGGCTTGTATTTGCACACTATTTTCTTCTAACAAAAACTTGACTCGGGAATAAAATGTATTGACAGGTTTCAAGGTCTGCTTAGATAATAAAACGTCCATCGGATCGGGTCCCGTTTTACATAAAATGCTGTTCTTGCAGTTCTTGCTTCTACAACATTCCGAATCTTGACAATCCACCAGGCCATCTTAAAGAATCAAAATTAAAAAAAAATTCAAATATTATGAATTTTTCCAAAAATCTGCTAAATATTAAGGTGAGAGTTAATTTATTTAAACTTTCTTCAAAGTTTAGCAATATTTTTTTTAAAAAATTTAAACAGCCGGTTCTCAGACAAAAACTAGAGTCTAGGTTTTTTGGCTTGCGAAAAATAGAGCAATAATACATTTATCATAATAATATATTAATATTCTTGAATTCGCATTTTAATTAAAAATTAGAAACCCAAAACTTTAAGATTATCTATATGTTATATATAGATCATAAATTAAGTATTATTTTACAATGATTTATAGTTTTCAAATATAATATAAAATTTTTTATCTTTCTGATTTTTACCCATATCATTATCTATATTATCATCGCACATCGTCTCATATTTAACTAAACAATCTCGACCTCTCCAACCAAATTTGCAATGGCACTTCCAGAAAGAAGATTGACTATTAGGTATTTCGTTATTTTGGGCATCGAATAAACATATACCATTTTTATTGCATTCATTTGGACACCCGTCTAAAAGAAAATCAAATAGTTATTTAAGTTTAATAAAAAATTATTTTTATACTAAAATCATTTTTGTTATTATAAGGATTAAATTTACAATAGATTTTTTTAGTGCTGTAAGCTCTTCAAAAAAGAATCGCATTACTTGTTACATCAAAAAAAGGAACGCGTTACAGTTACTTTAGGAAGAAAGGAACGCGTTTTGTTACTTGAAAAATTACAAATTATGTATATAAATTTCTTAAGTATAATATAAATAAAATTATACAAATAAATATTATTGGTGGTTGAGCTGACTTAAAAACATGGCTTAAATTATTTATAAAATTTAAGAAATAATTTTATAATACAATAAAATATGGTTTTCCCATATTTTTTATGAAAAAATCTATAATAACTAGTAACGTTTTGCGTTACCGTTACTCGTTCCTCCTAGAAGAAGGTAACTAATGGAGTTCCTTTTATTAGAAAAAGGTAACACTGCTAACAACGTTACTTTTTTTATGTTAATTTACAGCACTAAATTTTTTGCATCATCTAGGATAACCGAGAATGTTTTAATTTTAAATCTTTCCAATCGAGAGGCCATTTATAATTAAAAAATTTTTAACATCAGAAAACGTTACTTTAAATTATAAACAAATAAAAAACAATAATAAATGTTAAAATATTTTAACTCACCAATAGAGCAAAGTTTTCCGTTCCAACCAGTATCGCAGTGACACACTCCATTGTGACACATCCCATGCTTATCGCACATCAAATGACAACTCAGTTTTTCACAACTTTTGCACTTTCCATCACGGCACTCTTTAATGCATTCTTTGTTGCCTATATAAGAGGGGGGGGGATTATATATACATGTAAAAATCAGAGTTGTTAAAGTAGCGCGCTAGCGCGCTATCTTTTTTGATAGCTATAGCTAATAGCCGCTACTTTTTTTAAAATTATTTAATTTTTTAGCGCGCTACTTCGCTACTTTTAAAAAATATAATGAATGTAAGTATAAACATGAAAATTTAAATATAATATCATAATTAATTATAATTTTTATAATTTATTATTTAATTTTGAAATTTAAATACATTTTCAATTTTTAATTTATATTTTCAATCTGTGTTAATAATCTAAAATGGCATCGCCCATGGATAACCAAATCCTTGAAAATGATTCAGACATGGAAGATTCAATGGAAGAAAATGTACTTAATAGCTCTAATAACGATTTCCCATTCCCTAGATTTGAAAAATTTTTTAAAATAAATATTAAAACAAAAACTGGATTCAAATTCCTGTGCTTAAAATGTAAAAAAAAATATCATCAAATCAATCGAGTAGCTATAAGATAACCTGAAGAAACACCTAAAGGCAAATTGTTATTTTTACATTATAATATTATTTATTTTATCAGACTTGCTATAAGGAAATAGAGAAACATATAAAAAATTTTGGTATAGGAGAATCTTCATTCAAAAAGACAAATACTATCCAAACCAAATTAACTGATAATAAACATGCCAATATTTCACAAAAATTGGCTGATAAAGTAATTGTTGATTATATTATTGACACAGTTCAGCCATTGTCCTTGGTTGCGATAGGCTAATGGCGAAGCTGAATAATCTTACTCCAACAAACATAGATTGCCGAGTATCTACCACGAAGACATCCTCAAATAATTTTTTTGAAATTAAAGATGATTTAATAGAAAATCCAATTGATCTTTTTTTTCAATCAAAAAATATTGAAATGAATATTTTTGATAATTTTTCATATATTAAAAATTTATATATAAAATTAAATACCCCCTTGCCCTCAAGTGCTAGTGTCGAGAGATTATTTAGTAAAGCAAAGCTTATACTTTCTGATCGTCGCTCTAGACTTGGGGATGATAATATTGAAAGGATATTATTAAAATGCAACAAATTAAAATAAATATTTATTTATATTGCTTATTTTTTTATAATCTACTAAACTAACTATATTTTTATATTTATAAATGTTGATTTTTATATATTATTTATTATACATTTACATTATAAGCAAAAAAAAAATAAAAAAAAATTTGTTTCATTTTTTTCTAAATTTTTTTTTATAAAAAGTAGCTAAAGCTACTTTTAGAAAAAGAAGTAGCTAATAGCGCGCTATTTTTTTTGACAAATAGCGAAAGTCGTAGCGCGCTACTTTTTTTGACAAATAGCTATAGCGGTAGCGCGCTACTTTTAAAAATAGCGTTTAACAACTCTGGTAAAAATATGATTTTTGACTTCAAAGAGTTAAATTGATATATTCATTTAATTTAGCTGAGAGCGTAAAATCAACACATTTTATCAAACGGACCAATAAAAATTGGATATCGTATGCAGTTGATACGCTTTATTTGAGAACGTGATTTTGATCAACGAAAATATTAGCTAATAACCATTTATTTAATAAAATCTTAAATGGTTGTAAAATATTTTAAATTTGATTTTGAATAATTAAGACATTGAAAAATTTTATTTTTATAAAAGGTAGACTGACTTGTGGAGTTGATCTCGCTAGACCGTTCTATGTTTCTAATCTTAATTTCGCACCCTGGTCCAGTGAATCCTGGAAGGCAGAAACATTTCCTAACTTTCAAATCGTTATCCGGCAAGACTAAAGCGCAAGCACCATTACCAGAACAATTTGTGGGATTGCAGTAATCCACTTGTATAATATTAAATTAATAATTTAGTAATTACATTTACTGTTTAAGTTAAGAAAATAAGTTAAATGACAACTATTTATTTATATATTAGTTATAACAAGTTATTTTATATTTATCGAAAATGTGCATTTTTTAATAAATTTTGATAAAGAAATTCTCTAACCATTTCCGCAATCCCATCCAAAGTATCCTTGGTTGCAATGGCACAGGCCATCTTGGCAAAGTCCTTTATCGTGACAATCCAGTGGACACTTCTTTATCATATTTTGATCCTTTAAATTTATAATATTTGAAATTATAAATCCGACATTCTTGTCAAAATTGGGATCATCGTTATAAATGGCCACATATAATTGAGTGAGGTTAGAGTTGTACATGTCGTCTAGAAAAATTGTGAGAGTTGTTTCCCCCTTGATTAAAATAATAAATGAGTTTTTATATATTTAAATTTTAAATCTTCCTGTTTATACTTATTAAAACCTAGTATACTTATCGGATACCGCAGACCGGCCCTAAACCCAAACCAGGTCGTATTTTAATTTTTTTAAATATACCTGGGCCGGGCTTAAAATTTGTTTATTTAAACATACCCGGGACGGATATAAAAATTTTTCTTTTAAATTACCCAGCCCGGGCCATATATTTTAAAACCAAATATTTTAAATCGTCATTATTAGTTATAAAAAATTAAAAATAAATATAATATAATTTAGAAAAACCCGGGGGGGGGGGGTTTGAAAATATAAAACTAGGGCTGGAAAAATGGTATACCTCTGCAGGTGATATTTATATTAATTTTATTAAAAAATGATAATGCATTCCATTTCAAAGCATAAAAGGTTAAAAACGATATCTTTATGACTTTAGTTGCATTTTGATACTATATCGCTTTACAAGTGGAAATTTTTTTTAAAAATAAAAACCCACTTCGAACATGGGTTAGGGAAAAAAAAAACATTTTAAATATATTTTTTCCTATCATAATGAAAATTTAAAATTCTTTTAACGGCACCCAAGCCCAAGCGATGATAAGTTTGATAAATTATATTATTTGTTATTAAATGTTATTTTAAAAAATAAATTTTTTTAAACTTTATCATTAATGAATGGCCTCTGCTTCAAAGTTTTAGTAAACATTTCTTTATCGTCTATCAAGTTGTGAAGAATTTCTAATCGATCGTACCTGATATAACTAGGCATGCCATTTTTCCTTATATATACACCTAATATATATAATTTATAAAAATAAGAATTCAAAAAAAAATTATATATTATTTTTTTAAGCAGGAAAATTTATTCTAAAACCCCAAAATTTGTTGCTTTTATTCTTATTAAAAGAATAAAAAAGAAATATCACATAAGTTTATCGAACCACACATATAAATCTACCTAGATTAATATTTTATGAACTTTATTTTTAAATTAAATTATTCAATATTTTATTTATCATTGAAAGATGATTACAAAAAAAGATAGTTAATTCAATTCCTCAATATTCCTTTTAAACTAAATATATCCTCCCATTATAAAATTGTAAATTAAACTCTAACCAAAAATTGCCAAAAGTGACAGTAAATAAAATTATTTGATGATAACAAAACATTGGAACTAAAAAAAAGATATAAATAAAATTGTGTAATATGAAGAAGAAAAAAAAAGAAATAAAAAACTTTTATAACATTATGTAAATTTTCAATAATTATGACAAACTAAGAAATAAAAATAAATTCAAAAATTTTGTATGACAAAAAAAATATGTTTTTTTTTTCGCAAAAGCTACTAGTAATAAAAAAAAAATCTCTCTACTTTATATTGATTTTTTGATTTTCATTTAATCATTATAAAAACATTGGAAACAGTTTACCCTGCATTCACACTTAACGCGACTTGCGGGAAAGTATACAACAAAATTTTCTGTATTCGCCACGAATTTTGTGTACTTCGCCTGGAATTGGCAATAATTGCGATTGATGGGTAAACTGTAGGTACTCTATAATATACGAATATTTTTTGATTTTTCCTTAATTAGGAAAAGTCAAAAAAAAAATACCATAGCTAAAATGCAACTGGATCACAAACAGCTTATTGCCTATCAAAAATAAATTTAAAATCAGTTTTCACTATTTCATTTTACGAGGCTCTGAGATTTAATAAAAATAATTCCTTTTATTTATTACCAATCATGCTATTGGGATCTTTCAACGTTATATTCATGTGCAATCGGTTGGTCGGCAGTTTATTTTGGATTCCCTTGACATGTCTACGTTTTTTGAGATCATTATTAATGTCATAGATTTCATCCGGAATGTTTACCCTAAAGCTGTGTAAGCGACGAGGTCTGAGCAATATCTCATTGTAAGAATCAAGCTTTAGTGTAGGAATCTCGCTTTTGAGGTAATATTCGAAGAACAATTGTTCATTTTGGGAACCGTTTGACAAAATTTGACGATTATAAGCTATAAACTCTGAGGCATTAACAGTCGTAGCTCTAAGATTAAAATCGGCTGAATTCTCTCTGGAATTATAATAATAATAGTCGCGATAAAGGGAATAGTTGAAAATTCCTCGCGCATTTTTCTGGAGATTCCAATTTAATTTGCCGATGCTAATCGCTAAAAAAAAGAATAGAAAAATTTTTCTGATTAAGCTAATTGGGCCAATAAAATTAGATGTTTCATTCACTTCTTAAAGTTTACAAAAATAATTATTGTACTTTGAAAGAGAAAGCTATATATAAGAATTATGAAAAAAAATATTCAGTAAATAATGATTGTAAAATGGTAATTTAAACTCCCCTCTAAGACTTGCAACATATAGGGTTATAAAATAAATGGTTGTCTAGTTAAATTTTTTCCATCTAAGTTAAATTAAATTATACTTATTATGATTGAAGAATAAAAATTAACTTATATATATGGTTACCCAATAGATATGAGATAAATATAAGACACAAGATCGAACTGACGAATAACATAATTGATAATTTCTTCCAATCACACTCCAGCGACATACCTCTCTTTAATCTATTAAAAATTCGTGAATGTTTGTACAAATATCTTTTACCAAACTATATTAATTAAAATAAAGTTTTTTTAAAATCTTTATTTTAAAACTATAATAAAAAATTATTAAGTTAAATTTTGATATCAAAATTTAAAAAAAATTATTACTTATTTTTGGCGTTGTTCAGAATGTGATGATTGGTTGATTTATATTGGTAGGATGGATTAACTCCTATAGGCAAAGTGTTATCATTGTTAAGCGGGGGCGAAAAGTAATAGGCATTTTCTTCTGCTGCCGCATACTGACCAGTAGGATGGTTGATCATCGAACTTTTCTCTTCTCTTTCTTTTTGTTGTTGGGCGTATTGCCTAAGTTTTTGGGTATTTTGAAACATCAATTCTATGGGATCGGCGTAGGTATGGGTTGTAATTCTGTATATATTTATATATATATGTGTATTGTTATTGTCGTGCTTTTAGTATGAGGACTAAAAAATTTATTAAAATTTTAAAGATAGATTAGGAACTTAATGCTCTTGTTAACAATTTATAAAGATTCCCATTGGATAAAATAAAATTGGGCTAAGGTTCTAATAAATGTTCCAAATTTGAACTGCTATAGCCGGCTAAAAATTGGCTTAAACGGTAAAAAATATAGTAATTACCCTACTATAGTCTTAACTTGAATATATATAAAAAATTTATCTATTTTATTATATAGAAAATATATCAGGATTTATTGGTGATAAAGCGGATGATGAGTGGTTAAAAAATATCGATGATTCAATAATTTATATATTCTTTTGTTAATTATCATCAAAATTTAATTAATAATAAGATCGAAAGCCAGAAATAAAAAGATTGAACAAGTTAAAAAAGAAAAAAATTTCGATTGTCACATTGATGTTAATGTTTAAAAAATAAATTGATATTACAGACATAATGCGCCTTCGTTTAAGGTATAACAAGACAAATTATCCATGAAAATTGTTAATTTTTAAAACTGTTATTTTATATTAGATAATAGGTATTGGACACATACTGAGAATATCTTGTAACTAATAAAGCGCAATGACAACCTGCATGCTTGTTAATTAGGTGGAAACAAAATATATCATTTTGAATTATCGTATGTAAAATACTCACGAGACATATTTTTATGTAAAACTTGCTTGAGGGTCAAATTTATGCAGAAAAAAAAGATATTATTTATTATAAAAATGAAACCTCTAAAGAAAATGAAAATTAATTTTATTCATTAAAATTAACACAGATTTTGATTCAAAATAGGTTTCGTAATTATTTCATATTATTTATATAAATAAAACGCCGAAAAACGCAATTATATAATGTGTATAATATATGTACTATAAAATAATATAATATATTCAAAATTTCAGATGGCATCGGTTACACACAAAATATAGAATTATCATATCATCATTTTAAATAATATAAATCCTTAATAGCTTCATTCTCTCAAGATATGACTTTTATAAAAAACAACTTTGTTTTGTTAGAAAAACCCTTCGGGTCACATGCGGCTCCTCAGTCCGGAGTTTTCAATTCAAACCCTGATTGATGGAAAACATTTCCATACTTTTTAATTTATTTGAAAAATTTTTTAAAGTCAAATAATTCTATTTACAAACGAATTAAAAAAATATGGAAATGTTAATAATTAAATCTTTATATACAATGTGTGTAAATTTTTTAATAAAGTTGTTACAAGTATATGAAAATGTTACTGAAATATAATTTAATATTCGGAATATATAATCAAATAAATAACGAATAATTCTATTTATTAAATAAATTTTATTGTTATCTATTTTATATGTTATATAAACTATGATAATGTGGGATCAACCAAGAGTGGTTTAGAAAATAAAAAGGTTATCTATTGGTAAAGATACCTACCATTAATTAAATATTCTGATAATCCCAAAATTGTTAAAGTCAAATATAATGTCTATAAAATAATCACTTAATATCATATTCAATTAGCAAATTCCAAACAATATAGTTAAAAAACGTTCATTTATCATATTAATAATGAGAGACCCATGCCCGACTCTAAGCCCGGTCCGAGTACATGTGCTGGCCCTTATGTTAATTTTTTTAATCTACACGGGCCAGGCCTAAAAATTTAATACCCGGGCTGGGCCTATTTTAAAACAATATATTTTAAATCGTCATTATTAGCTTTAGCTATAAAAATTAAAATAAATAAAATATATTTTAAAAAAAATCCGGGCTGGGCTTGAAAATATATATTTTTGAAAAAAATCCGGGCCTTTACCTCTACATGGCTCTGATAATAATATAGCGCTAAACACATTCCCTCAAATCTCTTATTAAACAACAATGACTGTGAGATATCTTTCTGGCCATGGTAAGAACTTTAACCCATTTGATAACACAATCATAATATAAATAAAACATAGTTTTAATATAAAATGTGTTTAATTTTACTTGTGATACTTATAATTTTTATCGGCAGTAGCTATTAAACGCGTTGATAGAATATTGGGATCATATCTATAAGAATACTCTGGGATCGAAGAATAGTAATTATCCTTTAGAAAAGCTTCTAGTTCGGACATTGTTTATTCCCCAAATATAATTTTCGTATTAATGGGTGGGAGAAATAAAATTATATTATTTTTTATAATATTTTTAAGTTTAAGAAGAAAAAAAATCATTTTATTTTTTATTGATTTTTATATATTTTATAAAACTTATCTCAATTGTAATATGTCCATTTCGTGATTTTTTTTTTGGAATAATAATTTATTCATTAAATACTTTCTTTATAATAATAGTGTGTATAAATATTACGTATAAAAAAAATATGTTTTAGTTTATGATAAAATAATATTCTATGTATACTGTTATAATAATTTCAGTTATTTTAAAAAATATTTTTTAAGACGCATTATAAATTTTCTGAATACAAATAATAAAAAAAAATTTAATCAAACAAACATTGAAAATCAAAAAGAAAATTAAAGATGAAAGTGACAGTAAATTTTATAACTTAGATAAGGGATGGGTTGAAAAGAAGGGGGGGGGAGGGTGCGTCTCTTTATTTTAGACAATAGTAATTATTTATTTTAAATAATAATAATAAAAATATATATATTTTAATAAACTAGACAAATATAATGCGATTATAATATAAATATATTTTTAAAATATTGATGTTTTATTTTATTAATATAAAAATAATAAGGCATAAGAATAATTATGTTTTCGTTGTCGCTACTCGGTATTCACTAACTAACTTAACAATAACAAGACAATGAAAATTGTTATAAAATCTTATATATGTATATGTATGTAATATAAAATTATAATTTTTATATTATTATCTCTATTTATTTATAATCATCACTTATATATAAATATAATATAAATATTAGAGGTAATAATTTTTATGTAATTTCTTTTTCATTATTTCGTTGCTTAATATAGCCATAAAAGCTGAATTTATTTTTTTTGAATTATAAAACACCTTTCATATGATATGAATCATAGTAATAATATCATTATCCATTCATTTCATTTTATTTACACCTCGTCAAGTTTTATAAATGTACCTTACATTTTTTTTTACCTGAAGAATATAAAAAATATAAATATATAATAATGCATTATAATTAGTTTTTAATTTTTTTAAAAAATACACATTATTTAATTGTTATAGCTTCTATTAGAGAAGGAAGGAAGTCAATTATTTAATTATCAAATTATTATAAATGGTTATTTTTAGAAATTTTTCCCGATGAATGACAAAAAAAATAAATTTTTTAAAAGAAAAGGAACGCTAGTAAAAAATTTTTTTTATTAATGATTTTTTTTTTTACATGAAAAACAAGAAGAAAAACAATTTAATAATTTATTCTGGTACCAATTACAGTTCCCTCTTTATATTTGTAGGTCTTGTTTCCTTTTACATATTCCCATTAAATTATGAGCTAGGAAAACATTGAAATCAATAAGGTAAAAGAGTGGGGGAGAGGTAATCAAATAAAACAACATCATTAGGTAATAATAAATAAATATTTTTCTAAATAAAAACATATCATTTATATGATTTAAAATGATAAAATTGTAAAAAAATCTATAGATAGAAGTCAAACTAATATTGATTTAATTATCAAAAATGTTGTATCATATTTTTTTAACTGTTTGATCTTACAAAAAAAGATACTTTTCTGGTAGTTTAATAATAACTAACCGATCAGGTTTCGTCAATAAGGAATAGGTCAAGTTTGGCTCGAGCCTTAAAAAAAAACATAATGAAAGCAGACCGGGTTTAAAGAATGCCTTTTAAAAAATTTTCATTAATTTTTATTTTTATGTTTTCTCTTATTATTAAAAATACAACACTAATTGGAATATTCTTGGAATTTATGAAAAACGAAGAAAAAAATTACTAGACCGGGTATGATGAGATCCTAAAAGGTTTAAAAACTTTTCATGAAATAATAGGGTAAATTAGAAAGAAAAAAAGTAGTATTTTAACAACGGGTTCAGAATTTACTACGTTGATTGCTAAGGGTTATTTAAAGTCAAAGTTACAAGCCATGTTTGGGCAATTTAAACAAATTAAAGGATATTTGTCTTTATATCCCCAAAAATTAGCCGAGTTATTATTTATTGCATATTTTTAACATTTAATTTTTTGGAAATTTTTTCTTTAATGGAAGAGGTAAACATTCTCTTAATATTGAATCTTTAATTGTTATATATTTTACCGTTAGAACCCCGATTTAAAATTTTAGTATAACGTTCTCCCCTGTTTATAATTTTCTGGCGTTAAATTAGTTCCTTAAATATGATTTACCGTCATTTTAACAAGAGAAATGATTATGATTTTGGTGTATATTTTCGATATATAATAAATACTTAGTATTTATATTTTATCAATTATTTGTATACCCCTTTAACTTTAAATACTTATCTATTTAATTTCGTTGAATTAATATAAGATTTAAAAAAATAAATTTAAACGATTACATGTCGCAATAAATGGGAATTATTTAAAACCAAACCTCAAATAGTAGCTGATTTAGTAGCATTTATTTTAGAGAGAAAAAAAATCATATGAATTTACAAAAAGCAATTATGAGATTATTAAATATTTTCTATATTAAAAAAAAGTCAAGTTTATAATTTAAAATTTTTTAAATAATTTTAGCAACTTGTATTGAATTTGAAGTATAGTTTATCAACAAAAGTTAGGTAATACAGTTCATATAATAATGATAAACACATAATTTTTCCCTTCGTTTATTATTATCAATTATCATTTTTATTTTATACAAAAAAAAGGTGCAAAAAAAAATTTATTTAAAAAAATAAACACATAATATTTATAGATAGAAGAAGAAGTCATTGTTTAATATAAAATATATAAGTTTTTT